TTTTTTAATATATTTTCTATTCTTTTTTATAGAAAATATAAAAAAGATTAATACATTTAGCTCATTAAATTTAAAAGCTTGCCTACATCAAAAGTTACCAAAAATAAAATCTAGTCCCAAACTAAGAGAAGATATAGATAGATAGATAGATAGACAGACAGACAGACAGACAGACGTGTGTGTGTGTGTGTGTGTGTGTGTGTGTGTGTATGTTAGTCTCTCAGTCATGTCCAACTCTTTGTGACCCCATGAACTGTAGCCCACCAGGCTCCTCTGTGTATGGAATTCTCCAAGCAAGAATACAGGAGTGGGTAGCCATTCCCTTATCCAGAGAATCTTCCTGACCCCACATACATTGCTACTGAGCATACAAACTGGGTCCACAGCTCTGGAGACCAATATGGTAGTAATTAGTAAAGACCGTGTACCTGATAACATAACAATTCTTCGTATGTAATCAGGTAAATTCTCTAGTATATGTGCTCAAGAAGACATGCACAAGAATAACTGTAGCTATTTTTGTTGTAGAAAGAAAAAAATTGGAAACAATTTAATGTTCATTAAGAGTAAATTATATAAATAAATTGCAGTATATTCATAGAAAGGACTTTATACAGCTATCAAGACAAATGAATTAAAGGTGAATTTATCAACACAGATAAATCTCAAAAACATTAGATAGAGGGAGGAAGGCCAGTTATAGAATATCAATATATTATCAGTCCAAAGATCAAAAAAGTACAAAACAACATTATTTAATATTTATATGTGGTATATATGTAGTCTCCCACTCCAGTACTCTTGCCTGGAAAATCCCATGGACGGAGGAGCCTGATAGGCTGTGGTCCATGGGGTCGCTAAGAGTCGGACACGACTGAGCAACTTCACTTTTTTCACTTTCATGAATTGGAGAAGGAAATGGCAACCCACTCCAGTGTTCTTGCCTGGAGAATCCCAGGGATGGGGGAGCCTGGTGGGCTGCCGTCTATGGGGTCGCACAGAGTCAGACACGACTGAAGCGACTTAGCAGCGTGTAGTCTCAGTAATAATATAAAAACATGCATGGAAATGAAAAGGAGAAATTCAAGACAGTGCTGACATCTAGGGAGTGTCATGGTGTGGAGGAGATGTATAAACAGATTTCATGCATGTATGAGACACATCTATATCTATACCTATACAGAGACAGGGAAAGAGTATTTTTATTTCTTAAAAAAAGATCCAAAGCAAATAAAGCAAAATTGTAACATTTGAAAAGTTTCAAGATGAGAGGGTGTTTTTTATATTGCTTATTCTTTATGATTTTTTTCGTGTATGTTTGGACTATTTCATAATAAAAAATCAAAATAAAACAAACAACAGGAAAAAGTTCTGAAAGAACAGAGGATGGGAAACACTTGGGGTTAAATATTTCCCTAGCCCCAAATATTTCCCAGCTCTGTACTTTTAGACCTTCTCTCTGAGTTAGAGAGAAGGAAAACATATGAGAAGGTAAAACCAAAAGGAAGAGCCAAACAGATAATAAAAATGAGCAGGAAATGGGCTCAGAAGGAAATCAGCTGCTGGCCAATGTGTGAGGGAATGCAAGTGCGCGGATACCATCTACCATCACATTCTCTCTTTCCCTGTTGACACCACCCACTCAGTCACTCCCTGGGGTATAGAGAGGTGGTCAGGGGATCCAGGGCTGCCTTGACCCCAGCCAGCTCATCTCTGTGTTCCTAGCTCCCAACAGGCAGATCCCTATTATTCCTGGGGACTTGAGGGGGTCAGCTTATTTACCTATCCTGAAGTAGGTGCTGTAATTTCAATGACTCCTATAGTACAAATGCTGAGGAAGGCAGGTTAGTGCTCCTAAGACTGCTTTTACCTGCAGTAGGAAGTCACTCCCTGGGCAATGCCAACTTTAAGGAACTTTTGACAATTTAGTCCTAGGAAGTAAAGCAATTTTTACTTTTAGGAGAAATTTTACTGTGCAAAGGAGAAATCACTGTGTTAAGAGAAACTATATGGTCTGCATTCTCAGGCAGCATGAAGCAGAACTTACCGTCTTAAGCTCCAAACATTTCCCATCTCTGACTTTCCTTCTCCCTACTCACGTTTGGAAAGTGTGAGGCCACCTTGACCTCTCCTTCCTTATCTTCCACATTCAGTTATCAAGTCCGTCAGTTCACTCCTCGGCATACCCCATCTGTGTCCCCATCACTCGTCTAAATTGGTCCTCATACCTGGGGTTGCTCCTCCTTAAAAGCATCCTCTCCACCACCACTGATACAGGTTGTTCTAGCCCAGCTCTGGTCTCATTACACTTTCCGCAGAAAGCACAAATGGCACCCCAACGGCTAAGAACCAAACTCACGCTCTCCAGTATTCAAGGCAAGCCTGCTCCGATCTGGCCCCTGATTTATCTCCTGCAGCTGCTCCTCTTGGCTCATGCCAGCATTCTGCTCCCACACTGTGCCTTGCCAAATGGTCATTCTTAAACATTTCCTGCCACTCTCCACCTCTGAACAGTTCCTTAGAAAGTTTCCTCTGTTTCCTCTTCCCCCATTCCCACCAAGGGAAACCCACTAAGGCCTCCACTTCATGGAGCATTCTCTAAAGCAAGCTCTACCCTCCTCAGGACTGGCAAGAGGTGATTACACATCACAAAGAGTATTATGTCCAACTCATTGCTATATTTCCAATCATACTTACCACAGTACCTCACTTTTAACAGGTGCTCAAGAACACTCAAATGAAACCATGAAAGCACATTTATATATGTACCACCTATACCCACATGTTTTTTTAACCACAGAATTGATATAGATCTAATTTTAACCCTGAACTTCAGCCACCTAATAAGCCTCCAATATGTAGCTGTGTGCAATAAGGGATGACTGAGTGAATGAACGGGTGGATTTCCCTATACTTACTTTATAAGTGAATGAGATATCATAGGTCACTACATATTGTTGTCAGTTGCCTTATGTTCTTGGCAATATCTTTGCTCAAGATCCTTTGGAGTACATTTCTAAGGTCTTAGAGCAACAGATAAACATTAATTCTCTTTAATATGATTCTCAGGGGAAAATATAAATGCAAGAATATGTCTACATGGATATAAACACACTGCACTTAATATTGCATCAATGTTAATCACATAATTTCACATTCTTCTAATTCTTTTCATTGTTTCCAAACCCTCTTGAATGAATAGATTCCTTTGCCTTATAATAAGAACAAAAACTGGTGAATACTAGCCATTTGATTCTTTTTTTTTTATTATTCTTATTTTTAAATCTCAGTAGCCCTCCTTAGGACTAACAGCAGCTTTCTCTACAAAGGTCTGCTGCAGGTTATTAGGTCATACTTGCTTGGAATATTCTGTCTTTCATTTATAATTTTTAAATTAACCCAATTATTTCTAAAGGTGAGCTGAATACTTTTAACCACACACACACACAAAAAAAAATGTATTGCTATGTGATTTAATTCATTGTTGAAAGGAGTAGGAAATCTTGTGTAAGTTGAAATTGATCATTAAATCAACACATCCTCTCTGCCCTTTACAACACCCCCCCAAAGGAGGCATCACTGTGCCTCCAGCACCCTCTTGCTTCTGCACATCTAACCAAGAAAATGACCATGTAAAAACAGAACTCAATATTTTAAAATGTCAATCAACCAATATTACTTCCAGTGTAATATTTTCACCACACAGCATTAAAAATATATATGCACTAAAACTTCCATCAGCTAAAAAAGAGACTAACAAAGTTTCACTCTATTTCAATAACAGTGAGTCAATTTAAGGGCCTTTGTTGTGTCTAGAGGCAAGATTTTTCTCTTGGGTTATCACAATACCAGGGGTGTCAATCAAAGAGCCACACTCAGAGGACCAAGAGAATATAAGATGAGATCCATCAGCAGGCTGGATTTTGGCCTGTATTTGTAAATGATTTCCTCAGCTGGGTCATCAATCACAAAGTCATCTGCATGGAGAGGATACTTCATTATTGTTCTATAGGGCTCCAATTAAGTAGGACATAACAAACAGCTATCAAGTTGACAACTCATCCAAATATTCAGCAATTACCACAACCCGTGACCATGAGAGGAACCAGGGCCTCTCTGCTTCCCCTTCAGGTGTAGGTCAATGGGAAGGAAAGATTTACTTCAAACAGCCTTCCGAGTGTCTTGCTCCTCACCAAGAAGTCTCCTGGAAAAACAGTCATAGATCCTCAACATCAACATAGAAGTATCATGAGGTAACACTGATTTTAAATTATTCTATTCATGCAGATAGTGTGACACTAATACAGTGACTTTCCATGCAAAAAGGATACTGTTATGTTTTTATTCACTTCCAGAGCTTCTAAGAAGCTTTAAGCACTGCTTCAGACTTTAGGGTCAAAATCAGAGTCCCCCAGTGGTTGAGGGGTAAAGAATCCACCTGTCAATGCAGAAGCTACAAGAAACACAGGTTGGATCCCTGGGTTGGGAAGATCACTTGAAGGAGGGCATGGCAACCCACTCTAGTATTCTTGCCTGGAGAATCCCATGCATAGAGGAGCCTGGTGGGCTATCGTCCATATTGTTGCACAGAGTCGGACATGCCTGAAGTGACCTAGCACACACACAGAGAGGTAACCAACTACTAAGACAGGTACAAATCACTGAGCTGATTTTCATATTTATGCAGACATGCATGCTTAACCTCCATGGCAAGGATGGAGTTGCTGCACTCTTACAAGAATGATAGGTGTTTTCAGTTCTTCAGGGAGAAGAGCATAGTGGCATTTAAGCTGCCTTTGATTGACTAAGGTGATTTGATTTCCACTAATAACTCACAAGAGCTGTTAGGAAAATTGCATGGTATTTATAATTCTAATTTGTTTTACTCTGTGACTCTAGGAAACATCATTGTGGTAAATATATTGAAATGTCAGGGTTATCACTTGCCACACAAAGTTTATTTTTTTTTTTTTTCCTCCCCACTGGACAAATGCCAGCAGCTTAGCCTGCTGAGACCAAGCTTCTGTGAACTAGTGATCCAGGCAGCCTTTGGCAGCTCCGAGTGGCCATTTGGCCTGCCCGAGCTGACGCTGCGTAGATTCCCTGGGACGGCCTCCAGCTTCAGGGTAGTCGGAGACTTTTCAGCGCTGCTGGGGCCCCGTGTCATCCCGCAGCAGCCGGCTGCTTCCTAAGAAGCTGGCTCTTCTAGCCGCTCCAAGAGGGAAACTTGAATCCTGTTTTGGCAGCTTTGCAGCACCATTCACTCTCTCCCTGTGGCTGAAGAAACTTTTTGAAAGTGCTTGGAGCACGGGCTCGGAATCTTCATCCAGAACGACTTGGAGGAAAGCTGCCTTGAAAGTTGGGACTGACTTCTTTGGCTGGCTCTGCTGAGCAGCCAGATGCCACGTTCTTCCATGCCGTACGTGCAGATGGGGAACATGGCTTCAAGGACAACATCCAAGGAATGACAGCTCAGATACACCAATAGCTTCTTCATCAACACAACTTCGGTCCTATGAGTGCAAATCTGTCACCCAAGGTATCTGAAGGTATCCTATTCGCTCAGGAACCCTAAACTGCTTGCTGTTCATAGCTTTTTTCTCATTCACTAGTAAGTCTGACCAGATGACACAATTATAGCATACCTCTTTCAAAGTACGTTATCATTGGCTTTCTTAGGGATTCATGTTACATTTTCCATGAGATGGCCATCTACCAAATAAAGAAAGTAGGTGCAATGAGAGGAGATTGGTCAATCCACAAGCAAACCAGAATTCCAAGATGCCTCCTCCCATCAGCTGGAGTTCAGCGCTTGGTTCTTCAGTTTCTGGGTCTGAACAACAAAAAAAAATGTGTAATTCCACTTTCAGGCCTGAGTTCATGTGCATCAAAAGGAATGGATTATTTTAATAAATTTGTTTCACTTTGCTTTCGATTTGGAGGGCTTACTAGTTTCAGTTTGATTTTATTTCTTGATTGTGTATGGAACATACACACAGATCAAAACCCAATACTACAAAGCACTGATCCTATCTGCTGTGTCCCTCCCTTCCTACAGAGATAACTATTTTTATTAGCTTGGTCTTACCTTCCATTATTTAAGTATGAGCAAAATATTTATACAGGCTTCTCTGGTGACTTAGGGAAGAATCTGCCTGCAATACAGGAGGCCTGGGTTCGATCCCTGGATCAGGAATATCCCCTGCAGAGGGGAATGGCTACCCACTCCAGTATGCTTGCCTGGAGTATCCCATGAACATATAATCTTTTCGCACACCTTTCTTAGATATAAGACAATTTATCAGATGTACTGTTCTGCTCTTTGGTGTTTTCATTTGTCCAGGAAATCACTCCAGAGCAGTGTATACATAGATAAGTCCACATTTATGTTTATAGCTGCATAGTATTCATTGTGCAATTGTACCTTAGTTTATTCATCTAAAACTTTGTTGATAGACAATGCATGATTCCAAGTCTTTTGATATGACAAGCAATACTGCAATGAATAGCCTTGGGTATACATGTTTTCATATTTTTCCAGACTGTCTTTGGATAGATTCCGAAAGAAAGGATTGCTAGTCAAGAGACAAGTGTATGTGATTTAGCTAGCTACTGTCTAATCCCCTCCACTGGGTTTATATCATTTTTCCTTCCCACAAGTAATGTATGAGAATGCCTATTTCCCCACAGACTCACTGAGAGAGAATATTTTCAACACTTTAGATTTGGGGTAGGAAAACAATGTGTTTCACCCAAGTGCTCACTTCAGAGAGCAGTTTGATGATATTATTATTATTATTATTATTATTATTATTATTATTAATACCAATGTTGACTCCCTTATTCATCATTCTTCCTCACGGTTGAATAATATTCCATTGTGTCGAGTATATATGCCCCATTTTCTTTATCTATTCATCCACTGATTGTTTAGGTTGTTTCCATATCTTGACTGTTGTGAATGATGCTACAGTAAACATAGGAAGGAAAATATCTCTTCAATATCCAGTTTTCATTTTCTTTGGATATACATTCAGAGGTGGGATTGTGGGATTGTATGGTAGTTCTATTTTTAATTTTTTGAAGGATCTCCATAATGGCTGTACCCCCATACATTCCCACCAGCTATGTACAAACATTTCCTTTTCTCCATACTCTTGCCAACACTTGTCTTTTTGGTGGTAGCCATTCTAACAGGTGGGAGGTGATATCTCCTCGTGGTTTTGATCTGAATTTCCCTGATGATTAGCAATGTTGAGCACATTTTCATGTACCTGTTGGTCATTTGTATGTCTTCTTTGGGAAAATGTCTATTCAGTTCCTCTGCCCATTTATTAATCAGATTACTTTCTCCTGTGTGATAGTTACTGCTATTGGTTATATAACTGTAGACCTGAAACAATGGTTGCAGTAACCTCTCTTGCTCATTTAGTCCACAGTCAAGAATGGATGTGACACAAAGCTACTAAGCATAGAAAGATAAGTAAGCTCCTTCCTTGAGACTGTCTCACTCTTATAAGTGAAATGGAAAAAAATCAAAAAGTCATTGGACAATAGTTAAGTGCTACTAGAAAATAATATACTAATTTTTTTGCTACTACCCACATATAAGAAAACCTAAACAGAGACTGCTTTTATAATAGGAAAAATACATGTTAATGCTTTTAAAAGTCTTCAGAGTTGTTTGAAACTCCAGGAACTTTACATCTGAAGTCCATGAGGGCAAGGTTCATTCATCCCTGGCTATTTCTCAATTAGGACAGAAATGCTATTTACGTTGCAAGTTCACAACTCTAAGTGACTGTATCTTCTCATCCTCAAGGCAAAGCAAAAGCAAATGATCACAAAGGAAAGGAAGGTTCCCTTTATCACTGCCAGACACAAGTGTCAACTCCTGTGACTACATGTTTCTGGTAAGTCCTCTTATCACCTAACCACACCAATCAATTCACGGACCTTGAAAAAATGCTGTGGTTTCTTTTCAAGCTCTACAAGTTCTTTCATTTATTAAAAGTCTTGCATGCAATGTCCTGGGCTGAGTACTTGAAGAAGAGAAGCTCACTGAGCCCTGAGGGATAAACAATTGACCAGAGATGACCCCTAACAGAAAATATTTCTTTTATTAAAAACATTTTGAAATTCAAAAACTCTAAATCCAACATGACCAATATGGGGATAAAGAATAAACTCAAGGCAGTTCCATGAACTGTAACGTTATTGGATATCTCCTCACCCAGTACTTGCTCCAAAATTGTGATGAACTACTCCCGATACACTTCATTTTTCATATTTCCCCCAAAATCTAAAATTCAGCATATCTCTTGTAAAATTTAAAATATCATAGTATTTTCTCACCTCTCAAGAGAATACTCTTTGGTATAGATGTGGAGAAAAGTGTGAGCTACAGAGTGATTTGACAGTTGGCATATGGAAAAGCCTCAAAGAATGAAGCATCTTGAAACCTCTGGTGGCTCAGACAGTAAAGAATCTGCCTGCAATGCAGGAGACGTGGGTTTGATCCCTCGGTGGGAAGATCTCCTGGAGAAGGGTATGGCGACCCACTCCAGGGTCCTTGCCTGGAGAATCCCATGGACAGTGGAGCCTGGCGGGCTACTGTCCAGAGGGTCTCAAAGAGCTGGACACAACTGAGGGACTGACACACTCCCAGTAAGTCACGAGACTAGATCAACTTCTGGAGCCAGTCTTGTAAAAATGGAATGAGGTGGGATCCTGTTCAACAAATGTTTCCATTAAAACTTTGATAAACAACAATGTTCCGCCATATGTAACTAGGAGAGATGACTTTCCAACCCCGGTTTCTTGCTCAATTTCAGCATCTATCTCGTAATATATCATGACCCTCTGCTATCAGATTAGACACTGTTTACTTGTCACATATTAAATGTTATTTAACATCTAATTTCTCTTCAGAAGAAAAGATGCAAACATTTTTTTATTCCAAACAAAGATATATGAGAAATAGCTCCTCTTCTCTCCAAATAGCTGTTTTTGGCTCTATTTTGGGTTAAATTTGAATCATACTTCCACTATAATGAGTTACAAATGCATAATCAGGTGTATTTGAATTTTATTTCATACAACCCCATCAGACCACAACTTCTAATGGATCCATGACTATAAAACCCCAATTTATAGAATCCCCTGCCCTTGAGAATACCCACCCAGAAAATGTTACTAGATTTTGTGACTTGAGATGGTTAATTTTATATGTTAACTAAGCTAAGGAATTCTCAAATAGCTGGTAGAACATTATCTCTGGGTATACCTATGAGGGTGTTTCCAGAAGAGATTAACATATGACTCTTTAGATTGAGTAAAGGATATTACCCTCACCAATGCAAGTGGGCATCATCTAAAATGTTGAGGGCCTTAAGAGAACAAGAAAATAAAGGAATGGCAAGTTTGCTGTTTCTCTAGAGAGAGAACATCCATCTTCCCTTGCCCTTGGACATGGTGCTCTTGGTAATCAGGCCTTTGGTCTTAGACTGAGATTTACATTATGTTCCCTTCCCCTCCCCCAATTCTCAGGCTTTTGGGTTTGGACTGGGACTTAGACCAATGGCTCCCTTGGTTCTCTGGCTTTTGGATTCAACCTAAATTATACCACTGGCTTTTCTGGTTCTCCAGCTTATAGACAAAAATCATGGAAATTCTTGGCCTCCATGTGAGCCAATTCCTATAGTAAATCTCCTCATATACATATACATCCTATTGGTTCTGTCATGATCCAGATTGGGCAGCTTGAGATTTAAAGGTTTCTCTTAGGTTCAGAAAAGGGTGTTCTATTAGGAGCTGGTTAAGTGGATGTTGAGCTCAGAAAAGAATTCCGTATAGATTTGTGGGACATCAGAAAACCAGTAGTAGTTGAAGCCACAACTAGACCTAAAGTATATATTGCTCTCTATTTATAATATATCAAATTGAATCAAAATTGGTCAAATTCTTCAAATAATATTCATTCACTCATTCATTCGATAAATAGTAGCTGGACATCTCCTATGCAAGGATCTGAGTGAGGAGTTTCGAGTAAAACTGTGAAGAAGACAGTGTTCAACTTCAAGACTTGTGTATTCTGACTGGGAATTCAGACATTAAACAACTGAATGCACAATATATTATCTAATAATATTTGAGATTTGGGCTACCAAAAAGAGACATACAACTTTTAATT